GGATATAACATGATATAACCATCATTTATAGTTAGCGAACTTGGTTTATAACTACTTTAGTCTAACTAAAGTAGTTTATTCCCAACCACTGTGACTGTTGGGGTTCAATCTCTGGGTCTGGGAGTGGTGCATCGTTTTTGCCGAGCCCAAAAGCCGGATCGTTATAAGTAGTCTGACTGTAGTTATATATAATTATGGTAGATATGACTCCAAGAAAACACAGTTCGTCATGGGAGTGATTCCCCTCTCTCTCTCTCGTCATTTAGAATCGCTAAAGTTGATGGTAGTTCAAGTATGGCTAAGATTCAGCCACCAAATTAGTTGACTGGAAGAATCCCATGTCACTGGTAAAGTCCCCAAAAAATTGACGGTTAAGTCATGTACGATCAACATGGTTTCATGACTGGAATCATCAACCAACCATCACTGGTTGGTCGTATACCTACCCCTCTGAAAAATATGAAAGTCAGTTGGGATGATTCTTCGCAATATATGGGAAAACATGTTCCAAACCACCAACCAGTAAATTATTTCCAAGTATACCACCATCTCTTGCGTGTGAAAATCCCGATCATTGCTCCCCTGCCGAATCCGACGGCTCGTTGAAGCAAATGGCAGTGGCACTATCTGAGTAGATCAACTCCTTGATGAGCCTGACCTGACCATGGCGATGGGATTTACCACAGGGATTTAATGGTAAAGGGATTCCTAAATATAATGGGATAATCCAGTTTATCCAAAGTTTAAGCCCTGACTTATGTTAGAGATTTTCCTAAATATAACTGGTTGGTGGTATACCTACCCCTCTGAAAAATATGAGTTCGTCAGTTGGGATTCTTCTTCCGAACTGAATGGAAAAATAAAAAAGTTCCAAACCAGCAACCAGTGTATAGCAACCCCCAAACCGGAGAATGATAAATCACTTTTCGACCTTTTTTGGGGTGAGTATGCGGTAAATGCTGGTTCACTAACCTGAAATACGCTCTCTTCTTGGGATACCCTATCCAAGTCCATCGTTCCATTCCTAAATGCACAAAAAAGGTGATTTCTATAATTCTATTATAATATTTTAGTGGGATTTTACCTGTCTGTCTTTTGGTGGTGTAGCATCTAATTCTATACATATTTGTGTGCACATGTGTGTACATATTGACAACTGACATGCCCCACTATACTTAACGATTGTCCCACTTGCAGCTCACAGCCTTCATACACCACTTTATCCCCAATTGAAATAGTATCCTGTATCCTCATTAATATAGTGGTATCCCTCCTTCTGGACAGAGTGGCTAGGTATAGCCTCCACCCAGAAGAGTGGGCAATGAGGGTTGATAGGAAACCCATTCAAACACCTAGTGGTCAGAAATAATAGTGCTGGTGGTCAATGTTAATTAATTACAATGTTTGTGGGTGAACCAATGTCTAACATACATGTATATTGTCTTATACTATCTGCACATATATGACACCCATGTATGCACTATTCTACAAATACATACATGTACAAGGAACAGTTCTTACCCAGCTTGAAGCCATGGTCGAAGCCGCCACTTGCCTACTTGCTTGTGGAAAGGAGATGGCGGACTAACAGAACTGTGTCCATATAAGACACGAAAAATAGAAACACCAATATTATTGTCCTTGTTGTGGACTTTGTTGGGCACAAAATGTCCACAAGAACGAAAGTAAACCAAAACCAACGTCCAAATGCAGATGTAAAGTAACATAAAACAACGACATCTTTAACACCATATTATCACAGGTACCAACGGCTCTCCATCTTTATTTCCCTGAATCTTCCCATCACATCAGATTGACCACTGGCGGCGACCTGCCCCAAGTAAGGGGTGATGATGCCCACACTGAGCCGGTGGTCCGTCTCATTCTTCTGGAAGAAGTTATGAAGTAACTTCACCACCTAGGCAACCGTGAAAAGGCCACGCAGGCCACGCCGGCCACGCGTCCCGTGATGGGATGAAACAGGGGCTCATCATTAATGTTATAATAAAAAAGAAGTGGCAACATAAGAGGTGTGTATAGTCAATACCCTATCTATACATATATCATATATATAATATATATATATATATCATATAATAAATAAATATATATATATGTGCCCATACATATATTTATATATATATGTGCCCATACATGATGCATTGTTGTTTTTTCTTTATGTCGACTGAATCCTATATCATATACAGCTTGTATAAGCACCAAGGAGCCAAGGGGCCAAGCGGAGTGCTTGGTGATTATCGATGAGTCTCAACACCCCTGATGTCCGGTCAGGGGAGACAACTTGCCTGATTTCCTGGTGGAAAGACGATGCTTTCCGGCAAAAATCTCTGTGAAAAACCAGCCCAATTTCCCAATCGTTTTTCAGTTCCAAGTACGTACAACTAGATTCCCCCCTTCGCATCAAATTGATTCGTTACAATGACAATTGTAAGGAGTAATTGGCAAATGAGTGGCAATCATGTATATTGTATATCATATAATAGATAGATACATCCTGAAACTAACATTCACACAGATCAACATATGCAGATTTTGACTGAACACACAGCTGGCAGGTTTCTACTTCGGTTTAAGCCCCTTGGCTCCCCATTGGATAAGGAATATGAAGGGTTCCTGAAATATGGACCCCAAAACCATGGCTTTTCCCATTGATCATCAGCTAATGACTTGGGTGATAACTTGGGGTCCTTCACTTTAGGAACCCCCCTTTTGGTGCATACCCATAGTTATCATAGCTCCAAACGGCTCCCTCTTTTCTCGCACCGCCGCAGCGGCTCGGCACCGTCGAAGTGTTTTTTTGGGCCCTGCTCCACTGCTGGAGGCGGAGGAAATGAATCGATGTGTGAAATAAAAAGAGTAAGATATGCAGTACATCTTTGGATGACTTTGAAATTTGGATGACTTCCAAATATGTTCAAATGGCAAATATTTAAATATATATATATATACAGTATATATATGTGTGTGATTATATGCATATATATATATACATACATACATGTGTACTGTGTATATTCTATATACGCAGAAATACTTGTAAAATCAATCAAACACATAACGCACCACATGCTGTATAGGATGACAGACTGTTGTTCATAGAATTCATATATATATATATGCTACTTATAAACATAGCTGCAAAGGGAAGAAAAGACAACTGGAGCTACAAATTGATGTTGTCACGTTAGACAGTAGACTTCATGCTGAAAGGTATCACCCCTACAAGGGGCAAGTCGCAAGTAGCATCAAAACCAGACAAAAATCGTCGGTGTGACTGTTCAGCAATGGGATACTCTAAAAAGTCTGTGGAAACAAAGAACTACGCCACCCATCACCTCCAGCAATGAACATTCACTTTTCAAAGACAGGCTCTCAGGCTCTCCGCGGAGGTGTTTGCCTGCCATGTTTATTCCACGACTTAACTGTCACAAAGATTTGCGTTCCACGTCCCAGCACCAGGGCATCAATTGCGCGCACAGTTCGCTGATCTGATGATCAGGGTGAGCGAAGAAGACCCTGAAGAGAAAGTCCTTGACATGACGAACTTTGAACAGTAGCTTGAAACTTGAAGGAAAGTTAATTGGTTAATGTGGGTAAAGCAATAGTAAACCCTCCCCGATTTTAGCATAAATGGAGTGTATAAACCATCAATATTTTGGGTGGTTTACCATTGCTCTACTAACCCGTTTAGTGGGATAACATATCCTGTAGGATCCCTCAGTCAAAATGACGAATAGGTAAACAAACATTCAAAGACACCAGTCACTATAGAAACTTTACTCTCAAGCGATGCCCCAATGCCAGGTTCTCTTGATGGGACCGCCAAGCACAGCTGCGTATCTGTCTGAACGAGCCCATCCCGGAACCTTGAAATGGGTCAACTGCACCCAGAAAACTGCAACGGAAAGATCTCATAAGGCGGGTTCAAAGATGGAAAAGTACAAGGCTTCCTGCAAATGTTCAGTGCAACATTGTCTTGCAAAGCATTGCAGTTTTGTGACTGGGCAAATGTTCCTTGCGAACAAGCTGGGTAGAACTCGCAAATCTTTGGATTAAGGGGTTTGGTCAAATACAGGTCAGCAACGTTCTGGATCTATAATTTCTCCCCAATTTGACGGTACCACATTATAAAAGAAAGCCATACAAGTGCGTGTGTGTATATATAATTATATATATATGCATATATATATATATCTCTCCAAATTGTCAAGTCAGGCTGTAACATATACCTGGTCAAGCTTGGGCAAACAAAATATTGTTTAGCTGGTTAGTGTAAGATCATAAAAGATCCATTTATGCCACAAACAATGCAGTAACCCACACAAAGTTTACTTTACCCTACTGTACCCCAATATCTGATGGCTGAGCACCCTTTTGTTTGATGGTTAAGTTAAACATAGTTCAACGACTCAACCAAAGTGCACCCAGTAATTATCGGCTTCAGAAACGGGACAGGCCCGGAATCGCCAACAGCTTCTGTACAAATCCCAGAGGCTCGGATGCGCTCAGCTGAACAAAAACCCATCATAAATTTCCACTATCAATGGATTGGTTTTGTTGGGAAAATCTTAACCGGAAACCATCGATTTTCCCATTAAATATTATTGAATATGGGGGTTTTCCTGCAAACGTTCCCTTAAACCAATCCATTGACACTAGGATACAAATTTGTTTTAGTATATCTTAACCCTGGGTGCTAGGCTGAACAGTTGACATCCATATTATGGATTCTGAAGTGGTGCAAAGAAACATCATTTTATTGAACACTTACGAACTGTTGCGCGCACCCTAATGGGAATCCACCTCAGCATTTTAAACCAGCCAAATCAGCATTCAAATTCTTCGCCTTCCCCTTCCGCAGCCGCATCAGCTGAGGGAAGTCTGGTCTCTGAAGATGAAGGATACGGAACCTGCAACGCTCTGCAAGAGAAACCCTTTCATTGAATGTCCCTGGTGGCGACCCATCAAGCCCAAAATCAGAGCTCCTTTCACTTGAAAATTGCATGTCATCATACTACAAAATACATCAGAATATTTGTCAAAATACAATTCCCAAATTCATACCTGCACATATTTCCACTGCCAATCATCAACTTCACCAGTGCACCCACCGAAACCTGTGTGGTCTTCGTGTCCTCCTCATCTTGCCATGGATCATAGACCCGCTGCGTGGCTGCCGGTGGGTCGTCCCTCATCCACGCAGGCTGCGCATTGGCCGCGGGCGCTGCAGGGGCACGACCCCCACAGTAGGAGGCCGGGGCTGGGGCGGCGGCCCAAGGTGCAGGCGAGGCCGCAGGCTTGGGAACTGGCTTGCAGCGAACCGTGGGGGCGGGATGCCACTTCCTGAGTGTCACCCCAGTCATCCCCCTTGGTTTTGGGGCAGTTGGCAAGATTTGAAATGTGAAACTAAGAGAAAACATCTTGAGAGCACACGATTTTCTGGAAGATCATGCCTATGGGAAGTGGCCTGTCACGATTGTAAGCAGCTGCAAGGGACCAGTTGAGGCTTGTAGCCGAGGCTTGGGCCAGGCAACTAATCTTGCAGCCTATGGTCTAGCTGCACATTGTACATTTACAGGGGTAGCTAGATCTATGTACGCTTATTGTTCAAACCAATATACCGCAATATGTCCCAAGTTCCAAATCATGACATAAGATCACCACAAAATATATGATTTATGTTAGCCGGATAGATATATGGATACATATTCCACCATATTTTTCATATCCATCTATGGCCCCCCAAGGTTTACCCAGAAGCTGAGCATCAGCCTCTCCTTGATCACATTGTCTTGATACCATGCTGTGCCCACATAGTTGGTCAAGTTCTTCCTGAGCGTTGCCACAATGGGTGCCACTTTGCTCGGAAAAACTCCATTACTTTGTGAGGTTAAGCTCTGAAAATCGGGTTTGGATTGGCTAGTTGCTGGTTTCAACTTGTTTGAGCCCACAATCCAACCACATGACGAAAATTATGGGTGTAGATTGGGTTGGTGGTAGCGCCCCTCTATAGTTATAAGTTGGATTGAGTTGGTGTATAAGCCCATCGGGCAGCAATTGTAACCGCCTGCAAACCCTAGTTTACCTAGTTCTATAATGTTCTATATATATATATATATAAACCAACTTAGCAAACTAAATCTCAATAATGTTCATTAAAACAACATCAAATCCCATTAATCGCCCTATGTTTGGAACGTAGACACGTCCCAAATCTGATTCGCTGTCGTCGGAAAGCGAGGTGGCCCACTGGCAAATGACCCAAAGTGGATGGTCAAAGAAAATCCCGAATGCCATGAAATCAATGATTGTCATGATATCAACTTGTAATGCGTATAAACATGTATTAAAAAAAAAACTATGGACAGTGGCTCTTTATAGATGATTTATGTACAAAAAACAACTTGGATTTGCTTATAAGGAACCTCCCAAACATGGAAAAAAGATTCCCTATGGCAATGGATTCCCCAGTGGATTTCCCAAAAAAATCTTCAGCAAAACCAGGATAATGAGAGGGTAAATATCAACTTGTAGCGCATATGTAAATACTTGTATACATATATATATATAAATATAATATAAATATATATATATATATATACAAATATGATTATTTGATCATCGATCATCGATGAATCACGGTTGCAGATGGTTGCAGCAGCATGCAGCACAAGATTGGGTGCAGAGGCTCGGAAAGTTTGTGGAGGTTTGAGCCAAAAGCTGGTGGTTTAGGAGGATGGTTTCATGATGATCAGTTAGGTTCATTTTGGGTTGACTTATTCTATTGGGTCCATGTCAGTTTCCGGAGCTAAATCGACCAAGACCTGGTGTTTCGGGAGCTAAATCGGCCACCCACAACTAAGACCCTATCCCTATGGGACTATACTGCCACCAAAATAATTGTAGACATAGGTGGGTGTGCATGAACAAAGGGTACCCAAAAAATCTCATGAGAGATTCGGTGCCTCCAATAGCGTTCTTTTTTTGAGGGTACCCGCTTTTCCAGACGAACAAAAACCAAGCGTCTTGTGCTGGACGGAGCCTTGTGGGTTCTCTTTAGTGCCAGAATGGGAGGTCTCGTCTTGTACAAACTTCCTCAGAGCGGGACATCTGCTGATAAGCAATCCAACGGAGAGGACAGGAATATGAGCAATGCTCCTGGTGCAGTTAAGGGGTCTTGGAAGCTGGGAATGGTGAGTCATGTGTACTTTCAACGATGCACCTTTCTATATATATATTTATCTCTCTCTCTCTCTCTCTCTCGCTCGGCTTAGCGGTCACGCTGTCTCTTTGTCTAGCTCTGATCCGATTAGATTAACACATATATCATGCACTTTGAAAGTATAAAGTCTCAATGCCTCACCGATCACTGTCGGCATTCAAGTCTGTGTACATCTAAGTAACATAGATGCACATACAACAAAACATATTGCATGGGTGCATCTACATCACATATACATATATATGTGTGTGTGTAGAACCATATCACTTCAATTTATTTCATATATTTTCATAAGAACATCCTCCGGTCAAACAAATCTACCCTCTGGTAAACGTTTACATAACTATGGAACTCACCATGCTATTCATGGGGAAATCCACTATTTCTATGGCCATGTTCAATAGCTATGTAACAAACTACCAGCGGGTAAGTCATCTACAAATGGCGGATTGTCCATATGATGGTGAAAATGGCACATTTATAGTTGATTTACCTATTAAAGGTGGTGATTTTCCATAGCAAACTGTTAGTTTACCATAGGGTAATCACCTACCACCAATTGCCATGCCTCTCATGATGCTCATGACAGTCATCCAAGGCACCCACAGAGCAAGCATTTCAGCCAACGCTCCGAGGTGTCGTCCCCTGCGACGCTCGGCACCTGGCGCTGGGGCGCCGGAAGCCGACCCTGTCATTTCTTAGCCGACCGGGTCATTTAACATAGTATGGAAAAGCGATGAACATCACCATTTTTAACAGGATTTAATAGGTAAAGCATCATAAATCATCTATAGATGGGCCAATTTCCGCTATGTTACATAACCAAAGGCTATATCATTATTCATGAGGCAAGCAAATAATAAACAAGCCCCAATAGAGGTTTCTTTATGAAGTTGGGTATACAGGTACACTCCCCATTTGGGATAATGTAAAATGACCCTAAATTGTTGACTGATGGGATGGTTTATCAATGTTTGCCATTGAGATAAGATAATGTTGAACTACCAAACTGAGATAGAGCTTAAGTCTTAAGTGATCTCTTCATCATAGATTGAAGCTATTACACATATTTGGTCATGTTAATTATACATCATATCCAGCATATTTGTGCATATTTGAGGTACCCATCAATGATGGTCAAAACATGTCCATACTGAAAACATGACCACCCCGTTGCGGCAGGATGCGGGCCGCTCGGATTATTCAAGATCAACATCAGCGAACATCACCCAACATCAGAACTAGCTTACAAACCACAAAGTGTCCATTTAATTCGTACGATCGAACTAAGCCCCGGGTTTGTTGCAAAAAACGGGGTTATTGTACAGTATGTAATTATAACCAAATTCACATGGGATTTTGATCAGTTTCCTATGAAAACAGCCTTTCTTAGGTGTACCATCATTTTGGACCATCCACCTCAGTGCAACCTGGTTGGTGGATACGGATTCCCACGACGGCTGCTGATAAACCAATATTGGCATGTTGGGATGTATTGGGCAAGGTAGTTTCCTAATCCTTCCTTTCTATTCATCAGCCACTGCTCATGCGGGCCTGTCGGAAAATAGGACAGCCAAAATCCAGCGGTTTATCATCATTTCCCCATTAAAACATGTTGCTATTTGAGGGTATCCCCATTTTCAAACCAAGCCAGTTGTACGACCCCAACAATAATCTGACAAGTAGGATAAGTAGGGCAAGTCCAGTTGCAACTGAGGTTACGATACAACTTACTTTTATCCCATCCCCTTAATATTGAACACCTCCTAAATGGTCCCAATTATGTATAAATCCCCTACTAAACCATGTTTTTTTTGGGGGTTGTTTAAGGCATGCGGCTGATACGGCGCCCTTGGAAGGGTTGTCGATTTTGAGATGTGCCATTTACGATCCCGTGGAAGGGTTGCAAATTTCAAAAATGAGGTTTTCCGAAATGGGGGTATAGGATTTGAAATTTTCGATTTTTTAACGTGTTGCACATGGAAGAGGCACAGGTTGCATATGTTGTCGTATGATCGTCAGGGGGGGGTGGGGGGGATGTTAACGTTCGTGTCGAGCGCTTCCCTCACGGTACGGAAGAGGCACATGTTGCATTTGTTGTCGTATGATCGTCAGGGGGGGTGGGGGGGGATGTTAACGTTCGTATCGAGCACTTCCTTTACGTTACAGAAGAGGTTGCCGTTGCTGACATCTTGCATTGTCTGACGCGCTTTTTGCGGATTTCCTGCTTGAACCTATGTTGGTCGTGGTTGGATTTCCTCTAGAACCATTATTGCTGGAACTCAACAACTTGATGGAACTTGGAAACACTTAAAAAAATGGCGACCTCAATCCATGCTCCACAAAAGAAACAACAGGTGTACCAAAAACGGTGCAGTTATGCTTACAGCTGGACTTGGCGTCGCAACGCTGCCTTGTTACAGACTGTAGCATCAGCACTGCCACAAGCACTCTGGCACCGCTAACCTCGAACAGTGGAAAAAAAAGAGGATTGAATACCGCCTTGATTGATGTGATTTGGATGACTCAAAATCATAAAATTCTAATGTTTTTTTTTTCACCCTTGAAGAGAAAAATCGAGTCACCGCGCAGGCGAAATTCAAATTTTCACTCTTGAGTCACACGCCTGCCAATCGAAATGAATGTCCATGTTGCACACATTTTTTGACGACTCCTGCAAATACCAGCATTTTCTCTCTTACCCTCAAAAATGACAATTTCAAATTCGTCACCCTTACAAGGGCGCCGAGTCAACCGGTTGCCTTGTTTAATGTTAGGGGGAAAGGATTACTACCGACTACTAACAGTTAGGTGAAGCACCAAGTACGAATCGTACGAACAAAACCGCCCAAGGCACATAAGCCAAGTACTCCAAGGTGGGTGCTGCATAGCCTGTCTTCTTGAGCTGCTCGTGAGCCAGCCAACTTTCAAGGCGTCGGATGTGGTCTCCTGAAACAGGCGACAAGGGCACCGAAAGGTGGGTGGGTTAAGCCCAGTTAAGCATGTTTCACAAGGTTGAATCAAGAAAAAATGAAATTGATCGAAGATTAAGTGATGAAAGTGGAACTCATGTTTTCACTGATGATGATGATGATGATGATGATGATGATGTTCAATGGGAGTAGTAGTTTTGTTGAGAAAATCTCAACTGAAACATCTGAAAACCATTGAAAACCGTTGTTTTGCAGATTTTGCCCAACAAATGTGGGATGTGAGCACTTTTTTGAGGATGTTTGTAAGTAGACTCGCGGTGTGACGTGAAAGACTTGAAGTTCAGACAGTCCGGTTCGTCTGTGATTCAGGCAAACTGGCCACAACAATCCGTTCACATCCTCCGGTTCAGAGACTGGTTGAGCAATGCTGGGTGCATGGAAAAAACACGTATCAAATTGTACGTCATCAAAATATCTTTCATTTTTGAAAAACACCCCTCACTTTCAACAAAGGAGATGTCCTTCACACAGGCTCATGTGCTCTCAAGTTCACACCGGGTCACACACAGACATATATATATATATGTTACATATATATATATACATATATAAGTCATATATATATATGTAATATTATAGGTCATAAGTTTACAGGACCCGTATTTGGAATGATGTACAATGAGCCCAAAATGGTCGGCTACTGGGGATGGTTCATTCTTGGGTTGACGTCCCATGGTGGCTCCAACCCCCCGTCCGCTGCTGATGTGGTTGTCATCCACCACTTTGTTGCAAGGAATGCACCGCACCTCACCAAGGCAGAAGCCGCGGAAGCAAATAGCACTCATTACACGAGTGAATACAAGTGAATCCCTCCATTTCCCCCCCTGATATTATCGTTTCTTTTTTAGAAACTTTGGTTCTGATATACTTGATTTTTTCATTTTGGGGGCTCTTATCGGGGAGGGATGGGATTACAATTGTGTGGATGAAGCCCCCCACTGTGCCCGGAATTGGTTGAAGAAAAAAAACGGAGGACACCTCTAGAGTTGGCTAACCCATGGTTTCCACAAGAATTGTCCCCATCCACCCCACAAGGTGGTGTCTCATAGTTGGCTAAGTCAGTTTACAACTAGGGCCAACGAATCGAACTAGGATTTATGATAGATATATCTACAGTTGGGGTGTATACCAACTTAGAACAGGGGGACACAACCTTGCACCCACTCCCACAGAGTAAAAAGTGACTGAAGAAGCCATCATAAGCCACATGTGCAAACAGAATATCAATACAAACCCATAGTTTCCATGGGCGAATTTCCCTAGGCCCCAAGCCCCCCTGGGTTTCCATAGTGCACCAAGAAACCAAGCCATCAGGCCCCATGGTTTGCCACTCCGCCATCGCTGCTGGTGCGTCCCGCTTCACCACTGCCGTGTTGATGACAGCCGCACGTGGTGCCGCTGGCATCGAGGGCGCGGAATGGGCGCCAGGGCCGCTAGGACCTGGAAGATCTGGGACGGAGGATCATCCTATAGTAACTCCCAAGAAACCATGGTTTCATGGGGGATTTACACATGTTGGGACCATTTAGTTGCTTTTAATTTTACGGGATGGTGTAATAGTGTATAATATAATTACTATATAAATGGTATGATTCTCCAAGTAGTGCTTTAGACTTGTGACTTGCACTAGTGAGATGTATGAATACACATGCGACCATGCAACCACCAATGCTGCTATCCATGGATCATTGATTCTGATACGAACTGTCTTTGACCACCAGCCGGAAGTGTTGGGATCTGAACCTAACCATCATTGATAAAACATGTGCCCATCCTGCTGAATCCTGTGAAAGCAAATGGCAAATTAAACATATACTGTATTAGTATCGATCATTCCTGCCCAAGAGGCTTATACATGGATATGTATTTATAATATAGACTTCTGTATATATATATATATATGTGTGTGTGTGCGTGTGTATAATATTAAAGAACTGTATATATATATATACATACAAGTACGCGTATATCCTCGTCTACTTGCGTGGCCTGGAGAACCACCTTCCACGGTTCCATTTCCTACTCAGCTCCAAGAAAAAACAGAAGTCAGGTTGGGGACAGCTTCCCCAACTCCCTTTAAAAATAACCCAACATTTTGAGGAAGCAACTTGCACACCATCAGTTGCGTGACGAAATGCCGAGAAACCCAAACTCCAGGCCACTTTTTTCTTGTGCGCATCGGAGTTGATGTGGAGCTGGCAAGCTGCTGATGAGAAGTCGGCAAGTCGGCAACTGTTTCAGGTGATTTCGAATAGGGGAACCAAGTCCAATTAATTTCCAGTGGATCCAACAATGATGCGGCATGCTACTGAAACGATGGGGGAGCTTCAAAATCTGTTTTCCGTGCAACTGCCATCGTGAATGTGAATGTGAGTCTTATCCAAGATACCTATTCATATATATATACTGTATATATATATATGTGTGTGTGTGTACATATATCCAACTTGATGCCCACAGCTTGCCGCCACATCGCACCTCCAGCGAACTTTGGTTCCTGGATGTGAAATCCGAGGTAGGCACGCGGGTCACTCTGGAACTGCAGATCGCAACATCGTACAATTCCTAGTGACCCATCACATCCCACAATATCGTCACCTGAAGCTGGGCTCCCCAATTCTTCAACACTCACGTGTTTCGATTGGTTGAAGTAAAATGGTCCAAATCATTTTCAGCAAGGTAGTGCACCCCATCAACATCCATCAACTAGTGTCCCCCAGGTCATTTGTTGGTTTAGTTTCGCCCCATTAACATCCATCAACTATACATCTATACATACATACATACATACATACATACATACATACATACATACATACATACATATATATATATATATCCATTGGGCACATTTTTCTGCCCTCGGTGCCTACTCTTGCTCCTAGGCGGAATTACCCGGAACATCCAATGCGTCTTCATTATTCTTCATTTCCTTACTCCTGTCGGCACCTTTTTTTTCAAGCATCCCGGGTCCAGTCTTGACGGGGTTGAACTCTCAACTGGTTTGTAGTTTTGAATCAAGGAATACCGATGGGGGTCTGTTTCAAAACATGTTGAATGTTGAACAAGTGTTTGGCCTGGGCATTTTTAGCCGGATTTAGGCAGAAAAACCGAGAATTTAGGTGAAAAAAAACGGAATTCGGCGGGAACAAAAAGAATTAGGCGGAACTCAACCAAATCGGCATCTATCATGCAGGGTGCCCAAAAACATCTAGTGTATATATAGTTGGGGACCAGATGATGTTCGGCATTCTTGTTAGGGCATCGGCGTTTCCTCCTGGGTTAGGCAGAAAAGAACTGCCTACAGGACACTTTTTTCCGCTTAGCGGTGCTTCTAGGTATAGATAGATAGAAAGCCATAAACATTCATAAGCCCTAGTTCTAGCAAAAGTTCTACACCAACTTCGCTAACCGCTAACGTTTTGGGGCACCACAAGAAAGAGGGGCCATCAAACCACCCCCAGCCCATCGGCTCAGCCCATCTTCAATGAAGCGAGGCGCAATTGTTTGTTGCACAAGGGGCAGTAGTACTCCCCTTGAACTTCCAGCCACCTCTTGTCTTCGCACCTTAAGGGTCCAGATATCGGGAAAAATGACGGATAAAAATCCATGGTAAAGCCACTAGATATGGGGCATCTTTATATCAATTTCAGGAAGAATCCTGAATCCCCCGTTAATTTTAAACAACACCCAGAAATCATGGCCTACTGATTTACATAGGACCATGGGGCCATGGGATCGGAAACCTTCAACGTAGAGTACCCAATGGTGGGTTTCCCGGGGGGCGCGATAAACCACCAAAGCAAACCCATATCCCCGAAATGAAACAGTACAGCTACATTTTGGGCACCTGCAAATTGTCCAGTGGAAAAGAGTGGATAGATATCATCGCTTGCTCTGGGGTTGTTCCTACCACATGTTGGGAGGATGGAGTTACCTCCCCAATGCCGAGCGTCTGAACCCAGTAGACACCGTCTCCATAATCGTGTGCCTCCAAAACCTGAATCATTCAGTGGAATTCTCAAGGGGATATCTATATAGGAAACCAATATATTCTGGGCATCTTTACTCCCTGAAAACCGGGGGCGTTCGTACAATATTCAACCAAGTCTGGGAGAGAACATGTGTTTAAGTGAAAATGTGCCATGCAGAGCTGCCGGGATCTCTTTGCATTGCAAGCACTGTAGGTGTTTTTCCTGCAGCCCATTCTGGGACCCAATGCCAAATCAAATGCAAGCATAGCCTTCTTCATCCCAACCAACAGAACAGGTATAACATGGTAAAACATGGTAAAACCATCTGGAAGAGGTGAAAAGGTGGAAACACTGGAAAACAATGTTTTGTTTGGTGTTTTTGTTGGCTTTTTCACATGGTTGGTGTTGCTTCAGATCTCCCTTGCATAATTCCAGGAATATCCACTGTCACCTAAATTTATGCCCGCATACGCTTTCTTGCTACCCATATAAACCAACAGGTCGTAAATTATATAAATTTTAAATATCTTAAATCATTTTTTTTTGTGAAAAAAACATTTCCCCAGTGCTTGTAAGAACGCTTTCCAGGAAACTTTATTTCTAGATCCCTGTGAGGACTTGCCAAGCAGGTCTTTCTTGGTTTGTCTGAACTTCCCCATGCAACTAGAAGAGAACAGTGCAGCACCATTAAAAAAACTCTGACGAGCATGCAAAAACAAGTACTTTTATCCATTAGGAGCGTCAACCTGTGTTTTTCGGGCAGAAACTCAACAGCATGCACATTCACGTTAATCACACACACACAGATATATATATATATATACATACTTTGGAGGTCCTCTCGGTTGGAGCCCGCCCCAGCACCTTTGGCATCCCCATTGGGCGCCAAAGAACTCCTTCGGAGAAGGCTTGCTTCTTGGCAATCTCGAACTGTTTCTTCCACTTGTTCTCCTGGTGACCAAGTGGAGGTGCATGCCGAGTTGCAGGTGAAAAACACCAGCCCACCGGCCCGGGATTAGACAAGCTGCATCAAGCTGTGATCTTGGGGATGGGTAGTGGCAAATACGATGCAAAATGATGCAAAATGATGCAAATAGCTACACTTGACTGTATCAGTTCCATGCAATCTGATCTGGATGGAGCAGGACTGTAACAAGCTGCAGGGTCCCAGAAAATGGGCAGCAGTCACGAGTCCAAAAAGGTTTGGTTCCCTAAAAATTGAGCATATAATCAGATTGCATAGCCACTTCTAGTGACCCTTGACAAAGTCCAAAAATTCTCAAGACCCTACCACGTGCATTATTAAAAAATGGGATTCAACTGCCACCACTCAGAAAATCAAATGGTTCAACAGAAATGTGAGGGGGCGCCCGAAAGAGTCAATTTCATGAGCAGGAAGTTCGGGTTCCTCTCGATTCTTTTCCCTTTGCTTTTTTTCTTCTTCTTTTTCCTTCTGCCTGCCATTTTGCATGATAAAGCTTAACAAAATGCGGCTTTCGATCAAAGACCCTCGTCCAAATCATTGACTTTCCCTCCAAAATCTGACATGGAACATCATGGAACCCAACGATTGTAAGTGTATCTGTCGAAACTATGTTTGGTTCCATGCCAGATTTCAGGGGAATATCTTGCACCCATCAGGACATCCACGGGAAAGTCGCACTCTCTACACAAGTATGGCAATATAACATCTCTTTGATGGGTAATTAGATTCTAATTACCCATGAATTATTTTTTGTTCCATGAACTAGATCATTAACCTGCACTGCTGATTTCTTCCACGTGTGTTGACAACGATGAGGTCAAACAGGACCTGCAGCACAGTATGTATAGCTACAAGGGCACGTGTTCTTGTCAGGAAAGAAATGGAAAGAAACCGAAACAGCAGCAAAAGTTCGGTTCACAGTTGCCTAGATTCGATTTGTTACCTGAACCATTTAACTGTGACATACTGTAACTATTGGATTTACTATGAATTACTCATGGTAACTATACCTGCATGTTCATCATGTTCATCATGTTTTTTTTTCTTCAGCCAGGGTTTTGGATTCGTCAAAACCATAGCTGTCCATAGGACCGGCCTCAACCATAGTGGCTTGGGTTTCCCGATCCCAGGACTCCCAGGACCGGCAAGATCCACTCAGCCGTGGTTTCGTGGCATTTATTCGCAAACCAGAAGAAAATCCAAAGAAACATTCATGTGTTTTTCGAACAAACATAATCAATTGTAATTTCAGGATCTTAAAATGGAGGTACCTCCAATTTAGGTTCCTGAAATGGCCATTGACATAATGACCAAACACAAACATCAAGATAAATTCATGATAATGCTATTATGCTAATGCCTTTCTTTTTAGAGGGCTGGTTTTGCAAAAGTCTCCCATGGTTCTGGGCCATGCGGTTTTCCGTAACACACCACCCACCGTTAGTGCGATTTTAAATCTACCCCGAAACAATATAAAACAATGCCATCCAAGGGTCAACTTACAACAACCAATGGTATTTCTAACTCAAAATGACAATTTCGTGGGTAACAAGTAACCCAATTATATATATATATATCCCCATTTTGAATTCCCGTTAGCAACATTTCTGCCGTAGGGAATTTCCACCTCTTCCATTCGTTTTCGCGTAAATTTTGTCTCTGAGCAGCATCAGCCTTTGCTTGGCGCTCCTGACGTTGCGTGGCATCTTAGTGGCCCCGTACAAGTCACGGGATTCTATTTCCCCAGTCAGGCCCAGTCATGGCCAAATTTTGAAGTATTAAACTACTCAGTAGCATTCACCAATGGGTTCAAGGCGATAGATGGTAATGGGGTTTCTGAACTCTAGGTATACAAAAAACAGTGGTATATAAGTTCTTCGTCCAGAACATCTGTTAATTATGATGCAATAAAGAACTCTTTCGAGTATTGGCTGCCCTCTCCCCCAAGGTTGCGGATAGTTATGTTATTACTGCTAGAACAACATCAAAAACTGGCAGTTCAAACCTATTGTTGTGCAGTGATCAACTCAGTCCACTTGGATTTTTTGTTGAATTTACCATAATATACCATAATCAAATTCCCACTGTGTTCAGTGTTATACTGTCATCCACACGGGAGGTGTTGTACCCCAACAATCAGGTCTGATGATGGAGCCCCTTCGCAGCCTTCCGCCTGGGCCCAGCTGGACCCGAACACTATGCCAGATAAATATTCAAATAGAATGCGAGGTAGAATGTCAGATAGAATCTCGGAATATAGGTCAGAACGTATGTTAGAACCTATCTCGGAATGTATGTTAGGTTAAACTTTATGTCAAATAGAACGCCGGAGTATATGTCAAATAGCATGTCAGTTAGTGGGGATCACTCAAAGAAAAAAATTCTTAGTGGTTAACCTCTCAAAATCACCCATATATATATACATATATATATGTGATTTTCCCATGAACACCCCCATTTAGTTCGGGGACTTCCCAGCCAGCCACATGTGATTACCGGAGGGAAGGTCAGATTTTGTTCATGGTTGGGCCTAAATCCACCTTTTTAGATTTTTAGAAGACTTTCATGGATATTCTCAGGTTTAACATTACCCATCAAAAATCCTATCAAATATCACAATAAACTAGCCATTGTCGACCATTCTCAATGACTATTAACCATTACAGTATCAACATTTATTAACCATTATGAACCACTATGAGGATACTAGTAGAATCTATTAGATCGGTTATTAGCCACTATTCAACACTATTAAGCACTATCCACCACAATATCAACCACTATTAATAGCACTATGAACTATTATGGTTTCCACAGCATTACTATGTACCACTATTAAACCAACTATTTACAGCACTATGAACTATTGTGGCTTCCACAGCACTATTTAGCACTATGTACCACTATTAAAACCACTATGAATAGCAATATGAACTATTATGGTTTCCACAACTATTAAGCACTATGTACCACTATTTAAAGCACTATGGAGTATTGCGGCTTCCACAGCACTATTAAGCACTATGGACCACTACTAAAACCACTTTTTGTAGCACTATGAACTATTGTGGTTTCCACAGCACTATTAAGCACTGTACTATGTACCACTATTAAACAAACTATTTACAGCACTATGAACTATTGTGGCTTCCACAGCACTATTAAGCACTATGTACCACTATTAAAACCACTATGAATAGCACTATGAACTATTATGACTCCCACAGCACTATTAAGCACTATGTACCACTATTAAAACCACTATTAATAGCACTATGATGGTTTCCACAGCACTATTAAGCACTATGTGCAACTATAAAAACAACTATTAGTAGCACTATGAGCTTTTATGGTTTCCACAGCACGATGAAGCACTATGTACCACTATTTCAACAACTATTAATTGCACTATGAACTATTATCGTTTCCACAGCGCCATTAAGCACAATGTACTACTATTAAAACCATTAATAAAAGCACTATAAACTATGAACCATTGTGGTTTCCACAGAGCTATAAGGCTTTATGTACCACTATTGATAGCACTATAAACTATTATGGTTTCCACAGCACTATTAAGCACTATGTACCATTATTAAAAGCACTATGAATAGCACTATGAACTGTTATGGTTTCCACAGCACTATTAAGCACTATGTGCCACTATTAAAACCACTATAGCACTACGAACTATTATGGTTTCCACAGCACTATTAAGCACTATGTACCACTAATTAAACCACTATTTATAGCACTATGAACTTTGAACCATTGTGGTTTCCACAGCGCTATTAAGCACTATGCACCACTGTTAAAACCACTATTTGTAGCACTATGAACTATTGTGGTTTCCACAGCACTATTCAGCACTATGTACCAGTATTTCAACAACTATTAATAGCACTATGAACTATTATGGTTTTCACAGCACTATTAAGCACTATGTACCACAATTGAAACCGCTATTTATAGCACTATGAACTATTATGATTCCCACAGGACTATTAAGCACTATGTACCACTATTAAAAGCACTATTAATAGCATTATGAACTGTTATGGTTTCCACAGCACTATTAAGCACTATGTACCACTATTAAAACCACTACTAAACGCACTATGAGCAATTATGGTTTCTACAGCACTATGAAGCTCTATGTACCACTATTTCAACAACTATTAATAGCACTATGAACTATTATGGTTTCCACAGCACTATTAAGCACTATGTTCCACTATTAAAGCCACTATTAATAGCACTATGAACTATTATTGTTTTCACAGCACTATTAAGCACTATAAACCACACACTATTCAAACCACTATCAAAACCACTATTAATAGCTATAACATTAACCATCAAATATCCTATGAAATATTACAATAAACTAGCCATTATCAACCATGATTAACCACTTTGAGTTTTTGTTTTTCGAATCTATTGGATCGGTTATTAGCTAGCCATTATTCAACACTATTAAGCACTATCCACCACAATATCAACCACTATTCAAAGCACTATGAAGTATTATGGTTTCCACTGCGCAAAGACAGTAAGCACTATGTACCACTATTAAAACCACTATGAATAGCACTATGAACTAGTATGGTTTCCACAGCACTATTAAGCACTATTAAAACCACTATTAAAACCACTATTAAAACCACTATTAATAGCACTATCACCTAGTCCAGCTGGGTCTCCTGTTTCTTCTGCTTTTCTCTCTCCAAGTCCGCGGCACAGCTGCAGCCCGTGGCACGCGCCAATTTCAAATCATCCCCGTAGAGCGAGTCCCAAAAGAGCTCCTAAAGGAAACGCAGGGTAAATGAGCGGCTGATAGTGGTTTTATAGTGGTTTTATAGCGGTTTATAGTGGTTTTATAGTGCTTTTATAGTGGTGAATAGTGGTTATTTAATAATGGTTGAGAATGGTCAATAGTTATATAATAGTGGTTAACAATGCCAATAGTGGTTAAACATGTGGATGATATGGGGTTTTTATGTGGATTATCTGTGAATAATATGGATGATATGTGTGGAGATGCTAATGATATGGGTAGCTGGAGAATCGTCAAGGGGTGCTGCACACTTAGTGGTTGCTAATGGTTAATGATGGCTGTGAAGTTTGCAGCTGCAACTTGTGCACCAGGGGTCTTTACAAACATGTCATGTCATACCTGCCGCTGTTTCATATCACAGTGGTGGGTGCTCTGAGCCATACAGCTGGCTGACGACCAGCGACGCTTCTCGCAAAAGCGTTGCCGCGCTGGAGGCGCACTTTGGACATTGGGTTGGACTTCGTGGGCCAGTACCCCAATCTTGACATTGGTAGCGGAGCCAGCCTGGCCCTACCTTGTCTTGCACCTTTTGGCCCTGCGCTGGCCCTTGGTGGACATCGACTTCTCGCTGCTGCTCTCTGGCCCTGTGCAGGCCTTGCTCTGGTCTCTGGATCTGGCCTTGTGCTGGCCTTGCTTCTTTGCGCTTCTGATCTGGCCCTGGGCAGGCCACGCTGCATACAGGTCCTGAGCAGGCCTTGACTCTCTGCATTGCTGTTCTAGGCCCTGTGCTGGCCTTTTGCTGTTCTACCTGGACAAGCTCTGGTGTGGTGGCAACTACGTGCCTGGTGATTGACTGCCCGGCGGACTACCTGGTCTACATCCCCTTCACTGCCTGAGGCAATGTCGGCTGGAACTGGATCGGCGAATACCGCCGGAGACTACAACACCACGAAGGACTCCTACATCCCGCTGTTCAGCGGTGCACCCTCCGACTACAAGGAATGGAGGAAGAGGATCAACATCTATGTGATGAAGATGAGGGTCGCCAAACGAGAACCTGAAGGACTCCTGAGCATCATCGGAAGCCTCACTGGCACAGCATGGAAGCTTCTTGAGAACTTCCCCATCGACGAGATCGAGAAAGCGGGAGCCTTTGAGAAGATGTTGAAGACGCTGGACAAAGCCTTTGAGTATGACCGGACGGTCCAGCTTCCGAATGACTTCGACAGGTACTTCAGCCAACTTCAACGGCGACCTGGTCAGACCCTCTTGGAGTACACGACGGAGCACGACCACCTCTACAGCAAGCTGGCTGACCATGATGTGACACTTCCATCAAAGGCCAAGGATGGCATCTCCTCCGAAGAGCTGGCCTTAGCAAAGAGCAGAAGCAACTGGTGACCACCCAGGCGCCCAACATGGAGCGGAACAAAGTTCAGGAAGCTCTCTTTCTCATCTTGGGTCAAGACCACAAGACAGTAGCTGGTGGAGGACATCACCATGCCCAACACCGTGGTTTTCGCGGTAAGGGACGTGGCTATGCGGTCTACTATGAGGACGACAACCAGCATGAAGCTGATGATTGGGCTGATGACAACGACTATGACCATGACTATGAGGGAGGGTACTACGAAGATGAGGACTACTCCCAAGATCCATCGCCCACAGCTGCTGACAGCTACTATGATGAGACTTTTGAGGACTTCGACACTGATGCCGCGTACTACCAGACCTTGGAAGATGCAGATCCCTCTGAGCAGGCTGAAGAGTATGACTCAGCCTACGCATCGTACATCGATGCCCGCCGACGCTTCAACGAGATCAAGCTCAGCAGAGGATACCTGCCAATTGTGGCATTGACTGATGGAGGCAACCCGGCCTTGCCATCTTCCTCCTTGTCACCGGTCTCTCCGGGACGCGGCAAGGGCAAGACCAAAGCAAAGAAAGGAAAGGGCAAGGGTAGCTCCACCCTGGTGAAATACCCTGCCAGGGGCAAAGGGAAAGAGCCCGATCCAAAAGGGAGAGCGAAAGCCAGCGGCAACACGCCTACCTGCTTGAGGTGTGGCCAAGTGGGACACATGACCTACAACTGCCCTGTGCCCAAAGCTGGTGGTGGTGCATCCAAGCGCAAGACGGCACCGACAGAAAGCACCGTCGGCGACGTGGAGCACGGCCATGTGATCTTCACGGACGACCATGGGTGCGAGCGCCATGACTGCGCAATGCTGGACCCTGGCGCAAGTGCCTTCTTGTCAGGGTACGGTCCCTTCTATCGCTACATGCTGAAGCTCAAGGAGACCGACTACGACATCACCAAGATCAAGTTCACGCGTTGCAAACGCACCTTCTACTTTGGTGGTGACGCCAGCTTGGAGTGCACCTGGACTGTTCGCCTGCCCTTATGCATCGGTGGCAAGTACGGCTATGTGCAGATGTACCTGCTGCCTGGTGAAACCCCTATGCTGCTTGGAAGACCGATCATGGAATCCCTTGGATTGGTCCTGGACTGCCGCAGCCGCATGATCAAGCTCGACGACATGCCCTGGCAACATGCTGTGGTGGGTGCCCATGGAGAGTACCTCATCTCCCCGCTGAACGAGTTTGACTCCAGCATGTGGCAATTTCCACCTGCCTTTGAACTTGTTGTGCCTGCTGATGGAGGAGTTGCCGGAGAGCTCATGGACTTCCAGACCTTCAACAATGAGGTCAAGCTCTTCAACTCCCAAGATGCTGTTCAAGCTGCAGCCCAAGATGATCTGCGTCCGACGCGACGCCACTTGCTCCAGACCTGCGACACCAAGCTCACTGCCCTTGAGAACGAGCTCCACGCCTACATCACTGAAGAGCTGCATCAGCCTGAGCGCAAACGAGTGCTCTGGGAAGTCTACTGCGGTGGAGCACGCGTCTCAGCTCTTGCAGAAGCGATGGGCATGGATGTGGAGATCTTCAGCTACGAGACTGGCTGGGACTTCGACTTGCAGGAGCACCAGGACCTCTTCATGCAGAGGCTTCGAGCAGAGATGCCAGACGAAGTCTATCTGGCACCTTCTTGTCACTTATGGAGCCAGATGCAGAACCTGGCTGCTCGAACAGAAGCCCAGCAGCACCAGCTCTACCTCAAGAGGAAGGAGCACCACTCATGCCACTTGATGTTTGTGGCCCGGGTCTACAAAGAGCAAGTTGACAACGCGCGGCACGCGCACATCGAGCAGCCCGAACGAGCTCTTAGCTGGCACACAGCAGCCTTGAAGGATCTACCTGGCTATTGGATCCTCCTGCACCAGTGCATGTTTGGCTGTGCTTGTTTGGACCAGGACGGACTCTGGAAGCTTGTGAAGAAACCGACAGGCATTCTGTCGAGCAAGGTCTCCATGCAGGCCGCACTGGCAAAGCAGTGCGATGGGCAACACTTGCACTGTCCTTTGGAGGGATCGGCACCTGGACTTGGCCGACGCACCTCCTATTTAGAGGATTACCAACCTGGCCTTGCAGCCACAATTGCAGCTGCCATCAACGCCCCAGACCCAGCTCAGCTTTGGGACTATGGACTTGCAGTCGCTGAGCAGAAAGAGGTCACTGGGTGCCTTGTGAAGCTCCAGACAGCCCTGAAGACCGAAGCAGTGCGCACCGTGCAGCGTCTGCACAGGAACCTTGGGCATCCCAAACCTGAGGCTTTGGTTGAACTTCTTCAAAGCCGAGGAGCTAGCGATCAAGTGATTGAGGCAGCTCGCCACTTCCAATGCACTGCATGCCTGCGCTACAAGCGACCCAACCAGGTGGCACCTTCGACACTGCGAAACCAAGCCCATGAGGTTGGAGAACGTTTGCAGGCCGATGTGCTGTGGATCAAGTGCAACGTCAGTGCCAAGAAGTTCCCCGTTTTGAGCATCATCGACCAGGCCACGAAATACACCGTGGCGACGTTGCTTCATGGAGAACGTGGTGAACACCTGATTCATGGACTTGAACGAGCCTGGATCAGGCACTTTGGACTTCCTCAGTGCTTGTGCTCAGATGAAGGACGTGGATGGGTTGGTGAGGAGATGAATGCCTGGACAACCCAACACTCTGTGGAGCACATCGTTGCACCTGCTGAGTCTCATCGTTTGTCACTTGTGGAGCGCCGGCACACCACCTTGCGCAAAGCCATCGAGATCTACATGGATGACATGAAGGTCTCCGGAAGCAAAGGCATCCGGAAAGCGCTGACCTATGTGGTGCCCCAGCTCAACGACACCTTGAGCGTTGCTGGCTACACGCCTTCACAGTGGCTGCTTGGAAAGATCCCACGCCTGCCTGGTGGACTTTCACATGATGAACTCAGTCCTGCACAGCTTGGAGACCATGACCAATTCGAACAACTACTTCGACAACGAGCTGCAGCAAAGAAAGCGCTGATCTCAGCTGACTTGGACGCCAAGCTCAGACGGGCCCTGCTGCGCCAATATCAGGGAGCTGACTTGCCCCTGCAGATTGGCCAGAAGTGTTTCTTCTGGAGAGACCAACGCCAGGACAAGCTGGTCAAGATCCGTTGGCATGGCCCTGCACGGATTGTGATGGTCGAGCACTCCAAAGACGACAGGCCCGAGCTCTACTGGCTCTCCTACAAGACCCAGCTCATCAGATGCTCGCCGCACCATGTGCGCGCTGACTTCACTGCAGCTGACACCCAACTGGCTGATGCTCAGGAAGCTCGACGAGAGGTGGCGACTCTTCGCTCTCGCGGCGTGACACGCTTCTTGGACCTTGACAGGGTCAACAAGCGGCACCACCCTGATGAACTCAACGACGATGAAATGGCTTCTGGTTCAGAGCCAGATGATGATGAGGGTGGTGGAGATGATCTACAACCTCCTTCACGACGACAGCGAACCACCTATGACATGATCCCGCAGGATGAACTTTCCTTTGAAGAAGCCATGGATCAGATGCAGCAACAGCTGGACCGAGAACAACAGCAGAACCAGGATGAAGAGCTCTATGAGCCCAGCTTGGCACCAACTTCTCCAGCGAACACTCCTGCGGAAC